AGCCTGAAGTCTGAAACTGATTCAAAGGACCACCTCAGCTTCCTGCCTGAACTAAGTACATCTTCTGTCTCCCCATGCTTTTTGTCCTTACTTTCATGGGTCCTTGTGAGTTCCCTAGTCAGTCCCTGCAGCAGCCACCTTCTTTCCCCACAGTGTCTGCATTTGTCAGTCTTTGGTACAGAAGTCAATGACTTCTGCTGCTCTGTGCTGCTCTGTGTTTATGGAGATCCTCCCTTGAAATTATCTGGAGAGCCATTCGTGCTCCACTCCTTCAGACCATCTGCCTTAAGATTCCTCCTGAGGAGGATGCATTTAGGAAATCAGCCAACTACACTAATGGTGGCTATCCTGAGGGGAAGGTAAGAAGAGGGTGGGGAGTTTTAGGGATTGTAATATTTAAATAATAATTATCTATTAGCATGTTTCTAAAATGGTTTAAAGCCTGAATGTATGTTTTTCACTCAGTTTCATAATTTTTGTTTGTTTTTTTTTAGATACAATCTCCAGTTGATTTGGTCTTAAAATAATTTTCTTTCATTAACTAAAGGAGGTGATTAAGAACATCTTAACTATGACTCTTATTCAGGAATACTGACAGATTAATTATGTCCTAAAGAGCTATGCAAAACTGGAAAATTACTAGTGCTACTTGTAGTGTAATTTTGGCCGATATTAATTTATTACCTTTTTCTTAATTGTATAAGATTACTTCTTTCTCTGCTGGGGATTTGAGCAGTGAGAATATTTGACCCATTAGGTTAAGCTATGGAACAGTCTTTTAGCACTTCTATGGAAATTTTATTTTTCTTGTTTGACTTAATTTAAACATAATCTCTGATTTGTCATGAGCAAGGAAAAAGGTCATTGAAAAGGATGACAATAGCTAGTAGGTTCTATCCAGTGTTAACCTGCCCAACCTGCTAGCAGTGTAATATTTCTTTTAACAAATATGCTAGAGTTCTTATGTCCAGAACTGGAAGAGTTCAGGTACTCCTAAAGCATAGAGGAGAGGGCACTGAAAGAGGGCCATGGGTTAGTATGCAGAATTACTTTGAATAAGTAGGCTTTTGAAAGAGCAGCCTCAGAAAACACACTGCTTCCTGAGAATGCAGTTTGTAATTTTAATAACTGCTCTGCATGGTAAAGTGACAGAAAATGAAGGGGATTGAAATCCTTCACTTTGTCACAGGACACATAAATGAGATAGAAATTATCTAGATTTCACAGAGATTAATTAAGAATCAGTCATATAGGTAGCTACAGCTGGTGCTCATAACTTTGTGTAGACTGGCTAGAATATCAAAAACTCATGGAGTTTATTGAGTGTTTCTGGATTATTTGAAGAAATTGTTTGATAACAGTCTACAACTGTTTTGAAACAATTTCAGACACATTCACTAAAGTATGTTAGAACTTTTGCTTATCTCCCAGGATCACATGGATAAACAAGGCTTTTGTACATACATTTGAAAAAGCTCTGGTGAAAATTAAGCAGAATTTTATTTGCAAAGACAAACTCTGTATCAAAGTCCACCATACTGGCAACTTTAATCAAAGGCTTTCTAGACTTTATAATTTGTTACAGATAGCATGTATTTTGCACAGGAACTGGATAAATATGGTGGAGGAAATAGAATCTGTAATGTATGCCTCCTAGACATCCTGCATCCATCAGTAGGATGTGCTTAACATTACAAAGGATGAAACAATTAGGATGAAGATGTTGTCAAGAAGGTATATTACTGGGAGCATGGCATGGCTGTTTTTGGAAAAAGGGACATAATGAAAAAATATATTGACTAGCTGTTATGAGACAAAGAGATTTGGGAAGAAAAAAGTGTGCTGAAATTAAAGCTGATGTCCATGCAGTTACTGGGGAGGAAAATGATTATGCTTTTTATTGGCCTGAAGGGGTTGCAAATGAAAATGTTACAGTAGGATGTGAGTCTTTTAATGCAGATGAAGGGCTGAGAATGAACAAATGCCAATTCCCTTCCTAACAAGCTACCTTTAGCTGTAGGGCATATACAGAATAAAACTTAGCTTTAAACATGTCATGGGAACCATGTTGTGTATGTGTTACATGTGGCTCTGATATTAGTGAATCCATTACAATGAACAGTAATTAAGAAATATATATATACTATATATGTATGTATATGTGAAAATCATCCTGATTTATAAGACTTTGAGTTATTTGTTTAAAGAAAGCCTCTACTTAAGTCCCATTGAATTTAGAGCTGTGCTTGAATCCTTTCTTGATCTGGGACCTTAAGCAGATTACTTTCCTTTTCTGGGCATAATGACATCTTGAAACTCACATTTTGCAAAGCAGAGTCAATATGATATGCTACAGAAAAGTATTTTCTCATGAAGACTTTGTTATTGTTCCCATTTTCTTTCATCTCAAATAAAAATAACTCATGCTGAAAATGCAGTCTGTGTATATTGGCAATTAAAAACAAATCAGGAAATCTCTCTGCTATATTAAATCACACATGCCTAGTTATGATTTTACATGCTGGGGAATGAAACCAAATTCCACCCTGAAGTATCAAAGACTACTTTTGTAAACACTAGGTTTCTCATTCAGAATAATGTTTTTTCCCCGTGCTTACACCATTAATGTATGCATCCCAAAATTCCTGTGGAGAATGAAATTATTGGGTTGCCTACCAGTAAATACATGTGGTTCCTGTTTAAAGCAATGTTCCAGGTAAGTGAAAATAACAAATCTTGGAGACCAGCCAGGTTTGCTTTTTCAAATGCAAGCAAGCTACCTTGCAATTGGCTATGCTTCTTCAGTGAAAAGGCAGGAAGAAGAGACATTAAAAACAGAGAGGAAGCAAGAAATAGAAAGAGCATGTGGGAACCTAACACAGCACACTAGGTACAAGTTCCACCTTTGTTTTCACAGAAGCAACCCTACTGAAATAACTACTGCAGGAAATAAACCTTGGTTTCTAAAGATTTTCAGTGAACAAAAAATAACTGATGTCACCGTACCTCAAAGTGGAGGAGATGTGCCAAAAATTCTGATGTAGGACATTCAGTCAAGCTTCTTGGTTAGTATCATCAAAACAAATTAATTCTCTTCTTTTTCACAGACCTGTTTCAACTGCTGTCTCTCTCTAAGCAGTGAGACAGTATACTGAATTTATGTAAAGTATTTCCTATGAATAATCACAGTCACGAGGCTGAGATCCAAAGCACAAGTAGGCAGTTAGTGAAATCTTTTATAGAGAATTAATATAGTAAAGTTTGATGATTACTAATATTAATATTGACTTCTGTGGGAATATTGAAATAGGCCTAAATGTAGGTAGTTAATATGGCTGCAATGCAGTATGACAGTATAAAACAACATGGTAATTTGATGCTGCACACAGAGAAGCTGTATCAGAGGGGAAGGAGCGAGCTGCTGTAAAGTGCCAATGTAAACACTACCTGGAATTCTCTTTTTAGATTTCTGGCCAGGGTGCATTGCCAGGTGACACCCAAAGAGCAGCAAAATACCAAGGAAATGTTCAAGGTAAGACTACAGTCTTGAGAATATATATATTTTTTTATGATAATGACCAAAGAGAAATGTATTTGAAGTATAAGAAATGCAAGGATAACTATTAGAGAGCTTCTGGAATTTCTTGGTATCGGGGCACTTGGTGTGCTTGGTGACCTTGCATACATTTTTCTCAGCATCTCTCATTTAGACTAGTTGCTAGATATGATCTGATTGCAGTGAACTATCTCAGGACACTTGTCACCTCTGAGGCTTGCAATTTAGCCTCGTCAAAATGTGAGAACTGTAGGCTGTGGAGGATATGGCTGCAGGCAGAAGGGAGTCACAGCAGGCACCATTGGAGCCTGTCTCAGTCAGGAAGGCTGGCAAGGCAGCTTGTAAGCTGGTGCACCAGAGAAGACCCTTGTTCTTTGGGCGTCTCATTCAAGACAGACAAGGCCAACTTGCTGCTCAGTCAGAGTTAGTAAGTAGCCAGCAGTAGCAGAGCCAGCAGCTTTGCCTATGCCAAAGGGCATAAGGACTGCGTGCAAGAGGAGAGCTTGCTGCATAAACAGCAAATTCCTGCCTCCTTCCCCTCCTCCTTTTCCTCCTCCTCTGCTCCATGGCTAAGAAAGGGGTGAGAGTTTGCCAAAAGACAATCATTACTAAATTTCTCTTTTACAGACACCTCAGAAAAGGACCACTGCTCCATCTCTGTTTTACCCTCAGACCCCAGGGTCTCTCCAAATTCGTCCAGCCCCACCATCTGCCCCAGTGCCCATTAGCTGCCTTTTAAGTCCTTTCACTCCACTAGTGTGCTGAGCCACCTTAGTCTTTGCCCACAACCAGCTTCCATACATTCCCTGAAACAAGTCAGTTCTCCCTGTATAGTAAGTTGCTTTGAGTGATTTAGTTTTACCACCCAAAAGACAGATGATAACTCACATGAGGCTGATTTTTTACTGCCTCAAAGGCACATCCTAGCTTGGGATAGACAAATTGATATAGCAACTTTCACAGGATGAATGTGAGTCCCAGACTAGGTTGGCATTAGCCAGCGGAACATCTCTGGGTGTGCAAGTCTGTAGACCAAAGCGATTGGGAGTCCCTCATGTATGTGCCTCATGTATTTTGGGAGTTTGTACTCAGCTAGATTTATGCTGATACAGTCTGGAGTGTAAGTACACAGTAACATTTGAAGTGTCACAGGTCTGGTTTATGCCTTCTGATTTAGATCTGTCTAGAAGAAAACCTTCTTGTGCATTCTGAAGCAGCTCCACACTGTAACCCAAACCACAGAAAGTGGGGAAAATTTGAATTAAAGCTCTTCTGTATGTGCACTAATAAATGATTTCCAAATATTCTTAAGAGCCACTAATAGGAGATTTGGTTTTCAAAAGTCTTTGCAAAGAACAAATTAATTGTATCCATCAGTTTGCTCTTATCTATCATTGTGTTAATTCTTTCTAAGAACTTTAATGGGACAGATGTGTTTGCTATAACAGAAGCTGAATTGTTTAGTTCTTAACATTTTATACTAATCTGTGGTGCTTTTCAACACTCTATTTAATTATGTTCTCATCTGTTTTTCTTTGCATTAAGACCATAAACAGAGTCCACAAACATGCTATCGACTGTGTAAAGCATCTCTTCTAATATCTATCAAGTGAAAGGAGGTTGTTTTATGAGAGGAATTTTGAAAGGTCTTTGCTGGATTTTCTGCCTTTCAAATGTTTGTACCAGTTGGAACACTGAACGTGTCACTGAATAGGCGGTGAGTAAAATCTTCCTATTCAATGAGACTAGGAGATCAGATACTAGATCAGACATCATTTCTGGGAGATTATCTTAGAAGCCTTTCTTGGTCTAAGTGTAATTGTCATGGCTCAGTGGGACAACAGGGAGCATAAATAGAGGAAAACAGAGGATTTCCTCTGAATATGTAAGAGGTAGTGGTTGGCATTGATAGGAGTCAATAGAAGATTGAGCCAGGGTCTGCTGCTGAGAAATGCAATGTTTGCATGTCTCTTGTATGGGCTGAAATTAAGGAGGTGAGAAGGGTCCTAGGAACTTTACTGTGAGAAAAGAAAGACTAAAACTCTGAAGAAAGGACTTCTCTTGAATCTTAGGTTCACACATTCTGATCAGCTTTGCAGCTTGTTATTTTTCACCCTTTCTTTGACTCCTAGCGATCATGTTCAGGTAAACAATGCTGCTTCTCAGAAAGTTGAGGGTTCCCAGGGTATCCCTTTTCAGCAGCCAGAAGCTGGCAGTACAGGGGTCTTCTGTGTGTGCAAGAAGACTGCAGGTCTGTGAACTCTTGCTGAGGCAGAGACTGGCCTGTCTGCCCTACTACAGTGGGGTACCCTGACTGAAGAATGGCTCAAAGGCATCTGGAGAACTGGTAATTTCATCATAAAGGAAGTTAAAATTCTGACCATGAGAATAATAGCAGGAAAAAAAATCTTGTCCTTTCCATGTAGTGATGCCATGCAATACAACAAAGGAGCCCTGGCAGTGAATTAAATCTGAACTACTGAGCTCTAAGTAGATGTGCAGGAAAAGATAGCACACAATAGGCCAGAGAAAGAAACATAGTTAATTCAACAGAACCATCTTTCACTTGCATTTGTCGTGGGGAGAGATAATGAATTTTGATTTTTTTAGGTCTGATGCAGCCAAATTTTCAAAGAAATCAGGATCATTCATACTTTCTCTCTAACAGCAGAGATGTTCATCTCATAGGGTATGATCTCTATTTGTCGTCTGCAGTGCATGATGGAATCCTTTTGTGTCATGTTTTAAAAAATATTAATAAAAGCAAGAAGACAACTGGAAAAATTACAAAGAGAAAGTGCCAAAACAAATGAAGTATAACTTTCTTTAGGAAAATTCTGAAGCAGGCTTCAAGTGCAATTTAGGACATCACAGAGGAAATAAGATACAGGACAGAAGATAAGCTTTCTTCTGGAGCTTGAAATTAAATTGTGAATCAGCAAGGTACAGAAATGTAATGCAAATATTTCACATAGGAGATGCTGCAACTAAGTCCCTGTGAATATTATATAGCTAATTACTTCTGTGTTTTCTGTATCAACCTAATTTTAGGTCTTTTTTAATAGATTCACAAATAATCTTCTGGTAACAGTATTAGTGGTTTAAAGCATCTTCTCTTATTAAGAGTTGGGAATCAATTGCTGCTTGCTAAGCAAGTTTTGGTTTCTGAAATGCCTATTTATAAAATTTTGTCTTAATTAAGATTTAAGGTGATTTTTTTTCTCAGACAGAAAATGTCAGACAAGGAAAGGGAAAATATAGATGCCTTTTTTTGTTTTGGAAGTAAAAGCTTTTGATTTTAATGAAAGGTAGTGGTGTGTGACGATGCAGAATATCTCAGGTCAGAGAAGAGGCTGGAACTAAGATAAAATTGGGGATTGGTTGAGGGGCACTGATAAAAGGTAACCACTTCCATCACACAGAGTTCAAATGACTTTATTTTACTGGCTGTTTGAAACAAGAAATATACCCAGACTAAGAAAGGGATAGAGAATGCAAACACAACAAGGTTTGCCAAAAACAAAGCAAGCTCTCACTGAATTACTTTATTAATTTCTCAGCATGTGAAAAATGTATCAGGCTTCATTCCAAAATGCTCTATTGTTATTCTGAGAAAAACAGCTCCAAACAACCTTGGAATGTCTAAAACAGTTTGAAATGAATCAGTGAGCATTCATATTTTGGAACAGTTCACAAAAATGGTGGGAAGCATTATATACTTCTAACAAGTTTCAGATTTGACAGATTTGGGTCTTTACACAGAGTTTTGGGGTTTTACATTGAAGCCTGTTTCTCTTTTTTCTGCTATCCAAATTGGCTGTTGCCATGTCCCTGCAGCTGTCACATTTTACAGGAAGAATGGTACAAAATGCAAAACTGAATTGAGGAAAATTCAGACAAGGTGACTTCTGTAGGCTGCAGAGGAGGCATCCATGACCTGAGCCTAAGCATCAGTCTGTTGTAATAATTCATGCATTATCAATGCTGAGTAAAAAATAGTCAAAATAAAATCCATGCTGTTGTGAAAGTTTAAATAGAGCTTTCAATAGCCTGCATCCAGCTGAAGGCCTGATGGTGTGGGGTGCAGCAACTCAGGGCGTGCATGTGCACTGTTCTGGGATGCTTTTTTACCAGGAGCAGATGGTGCATTGTGGATTATAGGGTGCAGCATGGTTCCTCATGATGTGACAGCATCCACATCTCCCTCTGGAGATGTCTGCAAGTATCTGGACTCTCAGGAGAGGAGAGCTTGTGATCCACACTCCACTGTCTATGTGTGTGCATGAATTGTGCTTAGTTGTCTGTAGGGGCCAAGAGTCCTTCTTGGGATTACTTGTAGAAGGCGATTTAGAAACTTGTGAGTATTTATGAGCATTTCATGGTATGTAAGATTATCGTTTATTTGTTTTGATATTGGTCATGACTACCAGATAATGATGTCATTAATAAAACACTATGATTCTGGTTTGGTTAAGCTATATGCAATGAGCAGTTTTCCCTGGGACAGGAGAAGAGAGTAGAAATCTCTTCTATTTCAGGAATAGGAGAGAATGCAGGTTGCCAAAGAAGAGTGGATAAGCAGCCCTACATTAGCAATACAAATGAGGTGGAAGAGGTGGATTCATGGGCTACACAGAAGAAAAAATAGAAACTAATATAGATCATGTTTATGATAGGAAAATTAAGCTGGAGAGTGAGATCTGGAGAATTTTTTGGACAAGCCCTGCAGTAGCACTTTCTCATACATGTTGGTGGGAAGTAAAGGTGAAAACAGAAACTATCCTGGACCAAGGGTACAGTCAGTATTAGCTGCATTTGAGGACATTGGTAAGATACATCATTAGAGTCTGACAGTTCATGCAACAACTGAAGTTTCCAGCTGAGGTAATGAAGAGGTAGAAAGAGCAAGGTCTGGGACTTAATAAGGGAAAGGACAAAGGAGAGAAGGTAAGTTATAAAAAAGAGCATAGACAGAAAGGCTCATTTCAGATGTGGAGGTAAATCTGCTGTTGTTTATCATGGCTTTGGAGAGAAAAAATACTTCAGGTGTAGACTTGAGCAGTAAGAGCTAGGCTGCTCTAAAAAGGAGCATGACTGCTCCATATCCTGTGACTATATCTGTACCACTGCTGCAGCACTTATCTTGTCTGTGCATGCAAATGTCTGGCAACAAGACTAGAAGCTGAACCTTGAATAAATTGAAAAACCTTGGCAATTTTCAGGAAAAATAGGAAATGTGTGGCATCACTAAGATTACACAAAAAAAAAAAAACCCTACCACTTTTAATAGCCATCAATTTATGGGATTCTATGTTTCTGTAGTGGCATTGTTTATTATGCTTACATAGTAGCCATTTCATCTTCAAAATCGCTCACTTTTAATAATCTCCACAGATCTTTGGCTACATTGAAATGTTCCATTATTGAATATTTCTTTCCTAATGGCAGGTAAAATCTTTTTCAAGTTGTTGATTTGCAATCCGAGACTAATGATTACATTTCTGACCAAAAATTGTTGGAAAATAATTGAAAACTATTTTAAATGTGCTGATTTTGAAGTATGGGATGGCTTACTGAGACTCTTAGTGCTATTTCTCATTGTTATACTATAAATATAATTCATAATTCTCAATCATTTTCAAATCTTTCAATAACCATGAAAGCCCCATTCCTTGCATTTTAATTCTGATAAAGTTTAGCAGTATGAAAAAATATGTATGAATATTGAAATTATTTTTATATATATTTTAATATATATATACCTTTAAGTAATGAGGAAATTTATGTAGAAACTTTTGAAGGAAAATATAATATTGTGATATTTTTACATAAGATGTAACTGTAAAAGTTATGATTAGATAGGTGAAATAACAACTATTATGAAATGAGTGGGCTCTTGCTTTCACATGTATTTAAAAATCTAATGTCAAACTGACAGTAACTAAAATATTGTTGGAAGGAGTTGGTTCAGCATGACTTCTGGCACCTTTTGTTCCTTGTCTGTTACTTTCTTGAGTTGAACACTTTTTTTCCTTTACTGGTTTTATGAAAAGTTTGTAAATTTTCATAGCTCTTCCTTTCCTATCATAAATTAAAAGGCTTAGGGAGGAGTTGCTCCTCTGAGTTACTTCTAAGTTCCAAAAGTTTTTGCACAGCCCACTTTTAATGGTCAGTAACTTTCTAAAGAATACGAGCTTTCTGAGAGACCTGCAACAGCTTTATCCTGTAACTTCGGGACTGCATTCACTGTTCCAAAGAGGAGTGGCCTTTCAGTCTTGGCACAGAGACAGTGTGGTCTGATCAGTGTTGTCAAGCCATTGCTGCTCAAAAGTTATTGGAATGAGGAGGTAGCCAAGAAAAGTTGCTATGGTAAAGAATTGTTTTGATTTAAAAAAAATAGGGAGGGGGAGACAGCACAGACCTACCATCAAGAATGACTGTTGTGATGTTGTATTATGAATCAAAATAATGTAAATACTGTGTTAGTAAAATGACAGCTCTGAAGGCAGTGGTGATGTAGACATGAAAACAGATTATGATGAAAAGAAGTGAAAAAAGTGGGAATTAATAAAGACAGGCTGGAAGATTTAATTTTTAGATCAGAGCTATAATTAATTTTCAATTGGTAGTGACTAAGCCATATTATATGAATGATAGTAGTTTAAAAGGGAGACCAAACTTTAGGGAAAAACTTAATGAAACTGTAACTAATTATTA